AGAACTTTCGAAATAAAGGAGGGCTCGGGTCAGGGCCGGGTGTGCAGCGCCATCTATTTTAATGTCTTTATCAACGGTCTTATTGAAGACCTATGTAACTCAGGTGTCGGCGTAACTATCGGTGATACTCTAATCCCATGTATTTTAGTGGCGGATGATACGACTCTTTGAGAAGAGATTTTAAATGCAAAGACATGGTAGTTAATTCATGCAAAAAAGCCAAAAATTCGTATTACTCGATTGCTAATGTTCGCATTGTAAAAGATGCAAATCCTCTTACTTCATTAAGAATCTGGATCAACATAATATTACCTGCCATGTTATTCGGATGTGAGTTTGGTCAAACCTCACCAAAAAATACATTTATTTGCTAGAACTTACACAACGTCAAGTAACAAAAGCAATTCAACGTTTTGGCATGAGATTTCCGTCCGATGTAGTTTTATCGACCCTTGGACTATGGACAATATCTGCTAGGATCGATAAGGCTAAATTGGGGTTTTTCAACAGATTATGTAGATGCAAACATTTTATTACAAAAAAGTCTTCATTTTAAGATGGCAAGTTATTTGTCGAACAGAGAAACATTTAAACAGAATCTGGCTGAAAAATATGAATATATACCAGATCAAATTCAACAATTCATCTGTAATGGCAAATATATGAGTAAGTAGAAGTGGAGACTGCTTACTAAATCACAAATTCATATTAATGAGGAGAAAAAATGGCAAGAAAGGTGCCAGCAGAATGTCTCTTTGCAATATTTTCGTAACGTCCATACAGAACTCAGCCCAAGCATAATGTGGGAATTGGGTAGACATTTCCCAAAATGCACTTGGAATTTAGGCAATCTCATTCATTCATCCTTACCCAATGTATATGAAAAGAAGTGTAAAATGTGTGACACCATGATATTTACCAATGAATTCATAATCACGCATTACCTATTGCATTGCCAAAATAGCAGAATTATCTGTGAGAGAGACGAACTTTTTAATTTAATAGCCTCAATTTTAGACATAGATACCGGTGTCAAGCTGTTTTCTGCTGACACACATGTTTTTATTGATGCCATACTAGGAAGTCAGGCAGATGTTCTCCAACAATTAGATGATGACACATTTTGTAATTTTTTACTGACTATTGCAAATAAGCTGCAATTTGTGCAGCACTATTTCATGTAAATATTATTCTTACATTATCATGATTATTCTCTATTGTATAAAATAATTGTATTGTAATTATTATGTTTGTTGCTCCGATTAATCTTTGGGAATAAAAGAAACAATAAACAATAAACAATACATGAAGATGGAGAACTGGATTCAAAAATGTTTTTCTCTTAAACCAATCATTGAAAACATTCTGTAAAAAACACGGAATTTATGTAATGTTGACTGATTGACAACAATTTAATGCGAAAATTATTTAGAAATATTTTATATAACTGTTCTTGTTAACTTTTTTTAGTGCAATTGTTTTTGCTCTTTTCTACCAATTCTTGAGAATGAAATAAAATGTCTTTCCGAACCTTGTTGGAACAAAATAGCATATATAGAGATTATCCTATATGAGGTTCAGGATATTGGGATTATCCCGAGGCCAATATAATATATTTGCCCGAGGGCCGCAGGTCCCGAGGGAAAATATATTATATTGGCCAAGGGATAATCCCAATATCCTGAACCGACTATAGGATAATATGTTTATCCCATACCAATCTTGGTCATCTAGTTCACATTGTTCAATCGTGGAAATATTATAGAATAATCATGTCCAGTTTTGTTTTCTTGGCCGTGGGCGGAGTTTCCTGTTCTCTCAAATATTCCCACATTTATTTTCTCGAATTTTTGATTGATTAAGTGGATGGATGCTCCTTCCCCTTTTTAAACCATCAAACAGATCCCGATTGTCTGTGTTTTCTCTTGTCGTTTACAGTTATTACGCGAACGTTACAAATTATGAACAAATATGCGAGCGCCGATTATGACGTAGCGGGCAGATGTACTATATCTGCCCGCTCAGAGCGGGACGTAAAGCTATGTATCTCATACTTGATCGTGGGTTTGGGGTAGATATCACCCGGGAATATATATCGTATCTGAGGAGCGGGCAGGATATATTGTATATGTCCCGCTCCAGGCCAAATGCGGGCAGATATAATATATCCATCCCGCTCCCGGGAATTTTTGAAAAGTTTAAAAAAGTTTAAATATCAAAAGTTTTAATTTTTTAATTTTAAAATTTAAATATTTCATTTTATTGAACAAAAAGAATATTACGAAAATGTTCAATATAAATATCTTGTCATCTGAAAAAGGTGGAAAGGTTATATCTACCCTAAACCCACTCAAGTATGAGATACACCAGTTATGCACGGTCGGTTTGGATACATGGAATATCCCTTGGGATATACAATACATCTTCCCTCGGTCCCTTCGGTCCCTCGGGAAGATATATTGCATATCCCTCGGGATATTCCCTGTATCCAAAACCTCCCAGTGCATAACCCCTATATCTGCCCGCTGATGAAAATATAAGTTTTTACAAACCGGCTTTATGTTCCTGTAACACGTCAAAGTATGGGATAAACAAGTTTACAACATGTTTTAGACCTCTCAATATTATAGTTATACAAAGGAATTTTTGGGTTGATTTTAAAAAAGTATTTAAAAAATTAAAACAAAATCCCCCAAAATAGATAAAAATCAAGATAAACCTTTTATTTCATTAACAACTTAAAACTTTTTTAAAATCAACCAAAATTTCCTTTGAACATTTACAATATTGAGAGACTTAAGCATATTGTGTTTATGTTGTTTTGTTCCAATGAGGTTCGGAAAGATGTTTCATTTCACTCTGGAAACATGATACCAAGAACAAAACAAGTGTTTGATGTGTTTTCCAAAACAATATAGATGAAAGTATATATATATTTCAAATAATATTAAGATGACCATTAAATTGAGGATGTGTTAAATTTTTAGATTTTTTTATGACTGGTTAAAGAGAAACGTGTGTTCAAAAAGTTCTCCATATCGATACCACTCCTTTGTTAACAAATGGTATAGGGGAGAGCGTTCAAATCACGGGTCAAGTGTGGGGTACTAGTTAAGCTTTAGTGCACTGCATGAGACGGTCGATCATCTTTTGTGCCATACTGGTTTTGGGTACTGTAGCTAATGCCAAGTGTATATTCTTAAAAAACAATAGAAAAATAATGCACTCTTCTTTTTTTAATTCCCTTGGCCATTATTTTTTCCTAATCCCCAAGACTCATTGTTTATCCATTACTGAATTACAGTGGCACCTACTCCTTATCAGAATAGTTAAATTAATTATACAAATGCCCGGACGCATAATTTGTTATAAATATTTAAATGTTAATTGTAATCTCAATATAATGACCTGGGGGCCATTAACAGAAGCTTCATAAAGTTAAGAATTCGTAAAATCCATTGTTCTCTAACTGTGACGTCATTATATCCATGGTTACAACAGTTGATTTACGAATTCGTAACTTTACTAAGTTTCTGTTAATGACCCCCTGGTAACTATAGTGATTCCAGTGATTTTTGCAAAATCATTGAAATATGATCAAGGATTATAATTACCATGTTTAAAATGTAATATTTGCTTAGTAAATCAATAGCAATAAGCTTTCGAAGTGCAACATTATATCGAATGAATACACTGAGTCACTGCTACCCACCTAGTTACACAGACGTGTCGTCAGTGTATCATGGCGGAACTACTTCCGGGACTAGGTTTCGGTAAGATTTTTTATTTCCCGATTTACACCTACTTATAAGTCACGTTGTGGATAATAATTTGGCTCGAAGTTTAGGAAGATAGTCTAGTTTGAGAATGTGTCGATGGTTTTAGGTTTTATATGTTAACGAAGACACAATTCACGTATTTACTATTTAGTCCCTCGCTTTTGTTACACTGACGTACGACCAATATCAGTGTAATATTGGCAATATTAATGCCGATCGTCAGTGTAACAAAAGCGAGGAACTAAATATGTGAAATGCGTTTTCGTTAACATACCAAACCTAAAACCATCGACACATTCTCAAACTAGACTATCTCCCATAACTTCGAGCCAAATTATAATCCACATCGTGACTTATAAGTAGATGTAAATCGAGAAATAAAAATATCTTACCAAATTCAAATCCCGGAAGTAGTTCAGCCATGATACACTGACGATACGTCTGTGTAACTAGGTGGGTAGCAGTGTGAGTGGCACCTATTCCTTTCATCACCAGAATCAAGTCAGTTATGTAAATTATGCCCAGATGCATAATTTGTTGAATGGTCATTGGATGATGACCAGGTCACTGCTTCTACATTCATGAAACAACACATTTATATCTGTTTATCCATGCATTTTATTTAAATGTTTTAATAGCCAAATTGTGTGTTAATAGCCAAAGTGTATGTTAATAGCCGAAATGTGTGTTTACAGCCAAAGTGTATGTTAATAGCCGAAATGTGTGTTAATAGCCAAAGTGTATGTTAATAGCCAAAGTGTATGTTAATAGCCAAAGTGTATGTTAATAGCCAAAGTGTATGTTAATAGCCAAAGTGTATGTTAATAGTTAAAGTGTATGTTAATAGCCAAAGTGTATGTTAATAGCGGCCGAAATGTGTGTTTACAGCCAAAGTGTATGTTAATAGCCGAAATGTGTGTTAATAGCCAAAGTGTATGTTAATAGCCAAAGTGTATGTTAATAGCCAAAGTGTATGTTAATAGCCAAAGTGTATGTTAATAGCCAAAGTGTAGGTTAATAGTCAACGTGTATGTTAAAAGCCAAAGTGTATGTTAATAGTCAACGTGTATGTGACTCTTGTGTATGTGAATAGCCAAAATTCATTCGTAGAAATACAGAAGCTAAAATTCTGATAAATATATGAAACTTTCCATTAATTATGAATATTCAAGTTAGTTAAAGAAAATCCGTCTGAAAGGGTTTTGAATGACTGTAAATCTTTTAGTCCATTTCGAACAAATGAAGAATAGAGCTGAACTTGTCCAGATACGCTTCATCTATTCTCAAACAGCCGTCTTTATTATCGTAAACAGGAATCGTGACTTCTCCCAATGTTATGTAACCAGAATGAGGGCCTTCATCCTTGTAAACAGCCTCGTTACCAATCCATCCTGTAACAATTGATCACGCGTTTAAAGTTACATCAAAAGATATAATAATATAAACACTGTATATATGAAGTGTAAATATCAACGACAAATTAAACTTTAACACGTTTATAACAATATAAAATCTAATGAAAGAACATCACTAACATCACTATGTGGCGTTCCACAAGGCTCTATATGAGGCCCTGTTTTTACCCAAGCTATCAAGTGTAACTAATGTGTAAATATCAAAAACAATATTTTACAAGCTTATGCAAATAAGCCCCTTATGGTTCATACCTGGAACATAATATATCTGATCAAATGAATGAAAAAATTAAAGTTAAAGATACAACATGAATAATATCCGAAATTTTTAAAGAACAGCTACTAGGCAATGAAGCTAAATCCATTGCTTGATTCTGGGTATCTACTGATCATTTAGACAGGCATTTCTTTATATCTATGCATCATTTAATGAAATGAAATTGATCTAATCAGATTCTAAAAATGAAGGAGCAATCAAATTCTTACAATAATAACCCTTTGAACAACCAATTGTCACAATGTTTAATGCAAAATCGTACAAAGAAACATGATATTCTAATTATGAGTCAGCAAGGATCATGACAATGTGTAAAAACAGTAAAAACGATAATCTACATTGCATGGTATTCTGAAAATTTGAACAAGCGGGGAGTACAGGAATTTTCTACAAAGCCAAACCTTTTAAACAAAGTCATTTTCGTGAAATGAAATCGGCACTATAAAGTGACACATGGTATGGCAAGGAATACCTGGATCGAGCTTAAATATTGGAGAACTGGACTACTTTCCGAAACTCGCACTCAACTCATCGCTACCCTTTTATTGCTTAAAACCCTTATTAAAATATTAGTTAAAGTTTGCAAATATTGGAATCAACTTACCCATAACTCCACCGGCGTAAATAGATTGGCCTGTTTTTTCCGTGACACCAAAATTCAAGAAAGTAGTTCCTTTAGCGCGTCCTTTACGAGTGACAACAAGCTCAACCGTGTCATTGTTGAAGTAAACATGGATTTGTTTCTTTCCGATCATCATTAGTTCGCCTTCGAGCTTAACAGTATCTTCTTTCCAAGGGTAAATTGTTTCACATTCTGATGTTCTCAGGATTACCTCATCTGGTGAAATTGATATGTCGATGCCCTTTCTTGTTACATTAATGTGCCCTATGTAGTCGACGAAAGACTCGTGGATGGCATCCTCATTCTCGATGAACGTTGTTTTGATATCTAAAAAAGAAACTGATATAAAACTACTTCCAATGTAGCGTGGACACCCGGGGTAAAGCTACCTAAAATACCTGCTGTTAATCCTCAAAGTTGAGTCTCAACTAGCGCAAAGCTAACAGATCGTATATCTAAGGGAGAGGACATTCCAAATGTAATGAAGATATCTATACCTATCTCGTGATCTCTGAAGAACAGATACGCTGAACCGGGTTTTCCCACAAAGTCGTAGCAAAGTCTTCGATGGTCGGCGCCTTTAATGGTCTGAGATATGTGAGGATCCCCGCATATCATTATCCCTGCTAGATTGTTTCTGCAGTTTGGCCTGCTTGGTTCGTTACAGTCGTTGTCATCCCTACATTCCGAACATCTGCAGTCGGATTTACAGAATGGACGTCCATCGCAACCCAAATCGTCTTTGAAACACTCCAAGCCACTGAGTTCAAGCACTAGAGATTATGAGATGATTATTAGCACACATTGGGTGTCCAAAAATAGGTCTAAATATGGTTATTTGTCTATCTCTTTCTGAAAATAGTATGAACCATCCTGCGAATCGTCTTTCGAAGACATCAGCTGTAACTTCTGTTTCTCAATTCAATAAACAGACCGCTTGTTTTGTTCACTTTAATATGCAATATAATTAAACCCGGTGATGTATGCAACAAATGTGCAATTATGGCCAAATATCCCTATGGTCAGAATGAATCATTTTAAGGTGTGACATGAAGAATATAATGTCACATAAAACTTTGGAAATTGATCACTGTAAGCGTTTGGACTCACATGGGCTGAGGTCGAGGTCATTAAGTTCAGCAAGGGTGTACTAGTATTGATTTGACAAGAGATGTGCTCCATTGACTTAACATGAGGATATCATCATATCCCAATATACCCCGGAATAGCCTGACTACGGTAAAGTCAGATACCCTTGTCACAAATGGCGGACGTAACCGTCGCTTCAACTGTTTAATCACTTGGCCCTCATTTCATGGGATTTTATCGTCGCTAATTCTGTGCATGCATTAAGCTCTTGTGATAATGTATCATATGAAATCCCATTTTTGATCAAATTGGGTCGTGAATCGCCACAACATAGCATCTTCAATATCGTCAATAACAACGGAATCTGAATTTGAGTAATTTAGAAAGACAACGGTATATGGTAATTACAGTGTCCGTTGTCCCGTATCTCATTTTGATCGGTTAAATTAAAGACTTTATTTCGATGATAGAACATTATTAACTGTACAGTAAGTATTAGGACACTTTGATTGATTGTTGTTCCAAAGGAATTTAGTCTAGGTGCTCTATTAAACATACAGTTTATGAAAATCTAATTGAACTGACGGTTATGTCCGCCATTTGTGACAACGGTATCTGACTTTAAACCGTTGTTAGGCTATTCCGGGTGCAATAAAAGCCATTGGTTTCCATCCATAATCAGTTTACCATTTATACACGTCTGTGGCCTGAATCGATTCAAATTAAAAAAATTCACAGTATGACACAAATGGTATATCTTATCAAATTTACAAATTGAGTAAGACGTTTGCAATCGATTCAAGTCATACTTTAAATTACAATATTTCATCATTTTTCCCTACAAAAAAGAAAAATGCTCCAAAGGCTAGCTTTGCACTTATCAGATATCATACAACTTTGTAAGTTCAAAGATTATACTATTGTGTTTCATTAATTAATAAGATATGTGGATAAGATGTAAGCATGCGAAGGATGCAAATGGATTTTGACAGCCCAAAAAATTTAGCTTATCTAACATTTACACCTCTACACTTCCCGGTGATTGAATATGGTCTTTATTAAGTGGCCAATGCATCAATACAGTACTGAATATCATCATCCTAAGCAGTTATCCAGAATCCGTACCTCCTTCTTGATAAAAAGAAAGAAAATATTCTGGATTTTGAAGACCTGTGTTCGGAGGATCACTGAATATAGGTCAACAAGATATACAGGGTGGGCCAAAAACGCCACTTTTTTTCAAGACACTACAACTTTTTTATTTTTCAACCTACATACCCCAAAATTTGCAGTTATATAGTATCAAGGGTTCTTAGTAATAATATAATGTAACAAGTCCTTCAACTTGCATTATATTTGATCTAAAAGGGGAGTTCAATTAGCCCGCCACCCTAATTAATGATATATTTTAGTTTTAGTCGCCTTGCTGATATTGCAGTATCAATGAAATGTTAGCTAAGTTTTTTTCAACCTGTCTTAATTGCCAGCTTTAGTTGAGCAATTTTCTAGATGGGGTGCCTTCATACAATCTCCTGGAGACCTTCCCATACCCTATACTCACTGGGGTTTGCATCAGGGCTATTAGCTTAACGATCATCAGGCCGTATCAGTTCAGGAACATTTTGCAAATTATGCTTATTTCTCATGGTACACCACATGTTTGAGTGAGACGCTGGGGACATATTTTATTCAAGTAAAAGTATATAATTTATGACCCATGGCTAGATAACAACCTCAAGTTTCATTTGGTATGCAAATTATGATTTAATATAAAAATATAAAAAAGTTATAGCTTTTTGAAAAAAGTGGCGTTTTTTGGCCAACCCTGTATATTAGTATACATAAATGCAATAATAGCAAAAAAGCACTACATGTATAAGGGTTATGTACTTGGAGGTTTTGGATACAGGTTTTATCCCAAGGGAAATATGTGTATATCCCGAGGGACCGCAGGGACCGAGGGATTTACACATATTTCCCAAGGGATAAACCCTGTATCCAAAACCGACTGTACATAACAGATGTATTTCATACCTACTGATGTTCTAGGTACGTCATATACCTTATAAAGTTCCAAAATTCAAAAATATACTTAAGATACGCATTTTCTTGGTGTTATAAAGAGTTTTTTTTAGTTTCTGAGATTTTCAAACTCTTATAACTCATATTTTTAAAAATAAAATTTGAAAAAAATGTGAAAAAAAAATTTTGAAAAAGAATGTGAGAAAAAATTTTGGAAAAAATGTGAAAAAAAAAATTTGAAAAAAATGTGAAATTTTTTTTTTGAAAAATTGATAAAAAAAATTTCAGGAGCGGGACCGGGATGGATACAGCGTGTATCCATCCCGCCCCGGGCCGTGGCTAGATACAGTATATATTCCCGCTCGTTATGTACCTAGAACCTCAGTAGGTATGAAATACATATTCATATTGAAAATCAGGTGAATTACTTTTTCTTCATGGGGAAATCATAACGGAGAGTGAACTTTGTAGCATGGGTTTTGAAGTGGACGATATAGCCTATGGTTGAATGGTAACTTACGTCTTGGTAAAAAGCACTGTTTAAACCAATGGACCAAATCTATTACAGTTTGTAATGCCTCTCTTTCATTTTCTCCAACTATCCCACCTCGATCATCAACTAAACCGAGGAAACGCTCTATGTTGTCCTTAATACGCCACAATTTTGTCGCAAAGGTTTGGCCCCAAGTACAAATATTCGGACCAATTAGGTCGTCTTCATTATTAAGTATATTTGCCATGTTTCCAAACTGCTCGATACCCACTAAGTCAGCAAGTACTTGATTGATAAGGCCTTGTTCGGTGGTATCAAATACCGTAATTCCGGTAATGGCACCGGTTACAGACGGGAGGGTATTCTGAATATTGGATGATACGTCAATCAAACCTGTGTGTGTGAAATACACATATAATGTTTTTGTGTGTTATCTAAAATAAATAAAACATTAAAAACATACAAACGGAGGTTCGGGGAGTTCCAACTAACTGTTTTGGAGTGTTGATTTTATTTTTATATGTTTTATTTCATCCCAGAGCATTGGTAGAAAAGAACAAAAAACATAATACTAAAAACTAGTACTAAAACAATATAAAATAGATCTACTTCACCAAAACGCAACCGATCCTATTTTCGCCTCTTGACAAATGATGATTTCGTAGATCTACCCAAGACTACCAATGATGTGTTTGCCAATGACACGGATGGCCCATAAACTTACCTGTAACGCAGACTGCGCAACAGCCTCGTGAATCCTCGACCAGTGAACACACCGCGTTCTGTGTGACGGGGGTGCTGATTGAACGGCACTGATAAAGAGGGAAAATAGTTTGACACGTATGTAAACATGGCACCCCTGGACCTAAATGAATATAAAACATGAAAACAAGTATCATGTTCTGCACTCCGCATATCCATGAATTTCAGCAATTACTTCTCATCAGAGTTTTAATATGGCCGAACCCCCAACATCAAGTGAACACCTTATACCTCTGATTTTCAATTTCGCTATAACAATTTTCAGATATTCTCATTTAACAAAATAAAAAAGAGCCATCGTCGCTGATCTGCATTTTATTATGCATTCTATAAACTCACCGATCGTCCACACTTGACTTGAAACTGTCAAAGGTGACGTCCAAAGAACAGCAACAATGAGCGTGATACTTGAAACTTCCATTATAAGCGTCATGGGTGCTTCAGTATGAGAATGCCTCCTCAAACTGCTGGACTATGATGTATAAGAACATAAAGATGAAAAGATAAATGCTGCCTGACGTTCAGCTATTGTATGGTATTGACAGCTTTTGACGACAACATTTTCCAGTTGACAACATTTGAATCACTTGATAGACTGTTTTTAATGTCAATAATTCCAGTTGAACAAATAATCAAGGAGGGTTGAAAGCCATTACTTTAACGCGATCTTCCGTTTCCTAGCGTGGAACAATTAAGTAATAATATTTCTATAAGGTTCATCTTTAGACGGAGTATTTCATTGGAAGAGGACATTTCGAGTATTATGGTGATATGAGCCTGGCCATAAGAAAACCGGTCTTATCACAAAAATTAGAATTGTGCTACAGAGCCAAAAATGTGCCCAAGATTAAGAGGAAAATGTGCTAAATTCAAACCGACTTTTTGGTCTATATATGCGAGGAAAAATTGATAAAACATATACCATGGCTCATTTGAAAGGTCTCTTTGTGCTTTCTAAGATGAACAAAAAATCAGAATATTGAAAAAATCTGTGATAAGACCCCATTTCCTGTGGCCTGGCTCATTTAGTATTCAAACGCCCCTAGCAGTACTAGTCTTCAAAAGAACATTGTTACCAAATTGTTTCACGCCAGGCAACATAAGATCTAGATTGAATAACGGCTGCCGATCCCCATTGACGAACAATTGTATTTCACACCTTCATGACATTTGCGCTTGGAAACTACTGTCAAATCCAGAAAATGCCACTAAAGATGGATTGCATTTTTGTTAAAATTTTAACTTTCCACGGTAATAGAAATTATTTATTTTCCAAAGTTGAAACAAAGTTTCATACTCTCAAGGAGTTACAATGATTCATTTACTAACTTGATATCTTAACGTTATAATATTGGGAAATCAATGCATTGTTCAGATTATTGTTTGCTACTCTATATTATATAGTGTGTTACCGCATACATATGATGATGTATGGTGTAAACTTTTCAAAAGACAGCGGGCCAATATAAGTTTTGAAAAGCCCGCGCCCGCTAACTTTCTGATTGGTCATACCGATCAACTGAAGACTCACTTCAGTCACCATTTATTTCACATAATATCACTTAATCTCAATTTTATCGTAAAAATGTATAGACTGTGGACCATTCTGTAGAAGTGCTCTTGCAAATGCATCCTTCATGTCATGGAAGGTCACACATTCCAACATATTTCAAACAATTTGTATGATTATGCTGGACACTTTCTGGGTAGTTGGACTTTATGTAGGGGTGGCAGAAGGCCCTCAGGCCAATTTATACCCCTACCCCAACTAAACCTTGGGGGTACTTTAATACAACCCCAAAAAAGGATACTAATGGATATCAGATATTCATCGTTTTATAGTGGGTAGGGCATGCCGTGGTTAGTCTGTGCCAGAAATTTCCAATCTCTGACTTATATGGTTGGTTACCATGGAAACAGTATTTATATCTCACAATCTTCTCAATTTGACCCCGTCCCAAATGTGTCCTTTAGTTCTCAAAGTGAAATATTTGCAAAATCTGTTTGGATTTTGTGGCTGCTACTTTGTCAGAAGTTAAAATTAATATGTATGTATTCACACTAAAGCACTAAAAACTTGATATAATGATCCCATAAATTAATAATACTTATCAAATGTAGTCACACACAACTGCTTTTAGGGAAAAGTGGGCGTGGCACTTTTGGTACTTGTGTAATTGTTGCAGCATTAAATAAAAAATTCATATTACACTAACAACAGTTGACATTTAATTAGCATCTACTAACATTGTGTAAAATTGTAATATGTTCATTATCATTATTAGATACTTTAAATATTTTCTATAATTGTTATCATGACCCTTCCCTATCATAGGTCATCAATGGTCAAATTAACTTTTAGTCTAAGTCCTAGAGGTCCTTAGAGTCTTTTTAGTTTGTCAAAGTCGTTTTCGTTGACTTGTACCTGTAGAATATGAATGGTTCCATTGATCAAGAGCTATGAGTTAGAATTGATTAATACATGTGTCAGGGTTAGAGGCATTTTATGAAATTGAAAAGTAATGGACCGTTCCATCCTTTGAGTATGATGTTATCTCATGCTGGTGTGATTTGCATACTAGTAATAGTCATGACTTGGATTAAGTTCATTATATGAACTCATTTATCATAAAACAATCCTTCACTAGTATCTCTCATATTACCTCTAAATCATCTTCATATATTCATGGCCTTAATCTAGAAGGTGGGAGGGGTTACAAACAGAGGGCAATGAAAATTTGTAACAGAGCAAGGACACTGATCAGTACCAAGGCCCCAAAAAGGGGGCCTTTGTGGTCATAACTGGACCTTATAGGGCTTTATTTTTTAATTTGAAGAAAATGGGCCTCAAATTTCAAAATTTGGGCCCACTCTTGGTTTTTAGGGTTATTTCTCTGTCCGGAAATTTGCGTCCCCCCCCCCTATTGATTCCCAGATTCGCCCCTGTATTGTACATGAGCGCCACAGTTCAACGATATCTTATACCTCTTTAAAAGGGAAGATAATACTAACTAGTGAAGGGGATGTAGTAAACATAAATAAATGATAGGTGAAATGTTATGCCCTGCCTTAATGAATAACTACGATTTCTTATTTTCTCGGACAAATGGTGTCTCGAAATTGACTAACTGATTCTATTATCAATACGTCAACATCAGGTAATGCATGATCTATCCAATGGATTAAAGATAATACTTGATTCCAATATGGCGAAATAAATTATTCCACGTTTGAATTGCATAGTGCATCAGATAGTATACATTGACTCACGATGGTTAACAAGGTACGGGTATAACTCCTTTTAGTATTTCGCAAAATAATGAAATATAAACAATTTACACATTTCTGAAATGCTGTACCTTTAGTGATTCCTTCGGATAGTGGTTTGTTGTGTTAAAACTTCAAATAATATCTAAACAAATCTGTTTAGTGTATAAAAACAATAAAACTAAATATGTTTAATATAATTTATTATTAGACATTTGAATATAACCTAGAATAAGAAATCTTGTTCTTGTATTCCATTTTAAAATTGGTTGAATGATTTTGGAACAGTAGAAATGATGGTCATAATTTATAAGTTATGCCTAAGTAACTTAATACTTTACGTAATATGCCCTGCTCATCGTTTATGATGGCAAATGCCTATCCTTGTTTAGAATATGTCATTTTATCAAGTTTATGAAGTGATGGCTGCCATAGTTACATACAAGTATACAATTACACGCCCCCCCCCCCCTTACACCAAAACCCCATTTTCTTTATCAAATCTTTCTACCTCTGTTATGATTCTCTGTCTGGCTTCCCCAATTCTCCATACTGTCAAGTAAACATCTAAATAGGATAGTTCTGGCTATTGCTCACCCTTGGTATACGCAGCTAACGAAAATTGACCGGTACGGGTCAAAAGCTGGACTGGTACGGGTTAACGGTTTTATTTGAATTTAAATCCCACTTGGGTAGCAACACAATAGAATTTGCTGTGGTTTATTTTTAAGAATGTATGGTTTTATCAAAAGGAAAGTGCATTATTTTTCTATTGTTTTTAAAGAATGTACACTTGGCAAGCTATCAAAAACAAGTGAGACATAAATGACCATTGACAGTTTTTGATAGTTTTCATTCCCTAAAAACAATATACAAAAATACATGTACCCTTCTCTTGTTACTGTGCATTCTTTAGAATAAAACAATTTATCAATTTTTGTTGCTATCTACATCATTGATCTTATCTTACTTACAAATATTCTGCTGTATTCAAATGCAATGTTCTGGACTGGACTGTCACCTGTAGTGCACTGAAGCTAGACTAATTATGGCCCACTCAGTCACTTACATCAACTCACACTCATGAGGTCAATGCAACCAACTCTTTTTGTTGTTACAATTAATTGGCTATATAACTACATGAACAGTCAACTCAAAAGAACTCACTCACTTACATGTATCAAACCACTTACCCCTACATGAACAGTCTATACAAAAGAAATAAAATTTTCCAGATTAGATCATTGACCATTTACCTGTAATAAGAATGTGTGTGATTTAAGTAAGATAAAGCATTCAAATTCGATTTGATAAGAAATAATAACCTCAGGCCTTCGGCCTTCGGTGTATTATTTCTTATAAAATCTCATTCTTATGCTTTATCCAGTACTTAAAATAGCCATAACTTGCTCAATATTGACTTCCTCGTGTCTAATTTGAAATATATGATGCCTCCCGATGCTTTTAAGTACCCCAATTTTTTACAGATTTTTAAACGGACCAAAACTCTCTAAATGCGCATTTATGCTCTTTTCTCTCGAGAACGACTGTCTCATTTTCACGATAACTTTTATTTAGTACTTCTAACATATAAGATCTATTTTTCCCCATCAAGGTATGATGTAAATGACATGCTATTTACATCTTGTGAGTTTCAATGACGCGCGTTTGATTTTATAAAAAATGCCAAACTTTGTGACAAAGAATTCCATCCTGCTTGCAGCGAGAAGACGGACCGGTTCGGGGCAATCTCCTTGCAGCGAGAAGACGGGCCGGTTCGGGGCAATAGCTGATGAAATTATATGCATTGCTTGTGCCTGTATTTTCATCATGTATACTGATAGTCCAACAACATTAGACCTAGCCCGGGCCTCGTTTCTTATCTGACATGTGTTATGGCCCGGCTAGGTCTAACCTCCATGACCATTTTGCCTTTGATGCGTTAATTTAATCGTTCAGCAGGTTTCGACAAGCGGAACAAATTAAACCCTGAAAACATGGCAATATTACACAAAGAATGTGATTCAAACATGCATACATACCTTATAAACACATACACCCCGTCCCGTATCCCCCTTAGACCCTATTGATGCATAATTACGAAAATATTGGAGACAGGTTTGGAAATGACGAAAATGTCGGTCAGTTTCGGTAACATCGAAATTGCAAATCGTTTCAGGAATTAACCGTCATCACGGCACT